TATTTGAAAGTTTGATCTTCATTAATACTTTAACCTTCTTTTCCACCGAATAATAAAAAGTATTCTAACATAAAGTACGTTCAGGCTCTGAGGAAGGCGAAATCGCCGAAACGTCAGCCATCGACCAGCAACATCAAAAACAACGACAACGACAACGAAGATCTGTACCAACCTCGCGTCAGCTTAAGAAAGTTCATTTCTTTGTTGAGGGTTCGAAATATGTTGACCAATTTCGATAAGTATTTTGTGAAGCATACTTGCTATTTGAGGAATCGGAAAGTATGTGGTTCGTGGTAAATTGGTTTTCCAAGAGGAATGCATATGAGACTTCTACGCCTGCAGGATTGTTAACGTTTATGTTTCCTGCTTTAGTGCCGAGCTGATATTAGCTGGAGCGCGATTTACGCCGCATCCAACGAAAAGAGATGCTACATTGACCGATGTGGTGATGCAGGTCGATCTCAAAGGACACATTCCTAAATTCATAGTGAATAGGGTGAGTAAGTCTTTGTTGCTGACAATTATATTATGGAAGATATTTAAAGCTTCAGGTTATGGGCAAAATCATGCTTATGGATACCGAAGAAAACCGGCGTCATTTTCAGGATTTAAAAGATGCGCGTAGTCGCCTTGTCAGCTAGTGTCACGCCTTGATTGTTCATACTGTTCTTGTACAGAAATGAAGTTTTTGAAAGAAGAAATAACAGCGTCATGGTTTTCTTACTTTGCTTTTTTTTCCAAAGCCATTCTTTTTCTCTTTTCCTCCTAGATTTGTCTAAAACTTTAACACTTTTTGCAATGTTTAACCTTTTTGTTTTCTGCCTTCTATAATTTTTATGGCAGGTTACTAGGCGAAATACAGCCACAATGTTGCTGAGATATTTGCAAAACTCTGGACCGCAGGCGTCTATGCTTACAATGTGCTTTTTTCCAAGTTCTCGAACAGGTACACGGGTATTTGCTTCCATATAGGACCAGTTAATCGTCGTGAATAGCAGAGAAACGTCCGTGACCTTCCAGGTAGAAGGATCCCACGTCTAAATTTTTTATACCAACGTTGTACTCTGCGTTCATTAACGCTTCCTTATTTATCACTTTAAATTTTTGATCTTGCGAGCCCTTTTGCGCCGGACTACGGTCGACGTTAAATCCATAGAAGTAGATTTGTCGAATTTTGTTTTTTCTTATAATTTTCTTAATTCTAAACCATTCATCTTTCACATCTAGTTTATTGATCCTAACACTTCTTGCACTGGATTTTTTTTTTCGCACCTATCATCCGCGAAGGTGTTTTGCATGTAGTTCGGCTGTTACTTAAGGATTAAGGATTATCGTCTCCTTTATGATTATCGTTGAATGCTGATGGAGTCGATTCTTTCCGGAGATTTGAGTTCACCGAGCTAGAGCATTTCCATTTGAATTGCAAGCAGTGAACTTTTTCCCAGAAAAATCTGGTGTCACTTCCCGGACTCAGAAGGAAAGAGAGGTTCGGTGAGCCCCGGGCAGGATTGGGTTGAATCAGCATTGTGCTGGTGATAATCGTCACCGCGCTACCCGAAACCTAATTTCCTATTTTGACGTCTGAAATTCTAATTTTTAAAATTCGTCAAAAATAAAAATTCATCATGCATAGAAAAGTACATAAAGTTGACTTTTCAGTGATATATAATAGCGTAGCATTAGAAAAAGAAAATGTGCTAAAACATGTTTAAGAAGAGTGAAATCGAGAACGTGATATTCATTTGTGAGCAGTCTGATACATAAAAGGGATAAAAGAATAGAACTGTTGGCGTTGATCAATCCCTGAGAGATGTGCCGTGTATTCGACTTCATTAAGCATCTTTGGAGGTGATTGAATGCATGTCTGCCCTTTACAATGGACTCGCGGTGGCCTGGCGATGCATCGAGCCAGTGCTGTTATCTTCCCAGACAAGTCTGATAAGAATTTTCCGACCCTCAGGAGATGGAAGACTTGGCGGGCCATGGATGCAGAGTTTGATCCCATGTGTGTGTTGCAGGGCGCCTCCGGCCACTGCACCACGTATGGTACATGTGCTTCATGAAGCGAACCTTAAATTGGTTAGAGGGAGTCAGCTTTGTTTTACTGCAACTTTATGGTGGAGGAATGCTGGGTATGTCAATAATGCCTGTTTCCACTTTATAGATAACCGGTTGAAGACCGAGGTAAATTGTTATCATCCGACTTCTATAATTGGTAGACTATCTTTTGCTGGATGCAGTCTGATTTTGACTTGGTAGTATGAATGTGTAATAGGCGCTAATTAAAAATTTTATTGGAGGTCGTTAAATGTATATCACCTGCCTTCCTGTTGATCATCAAGTGGCTCAAGCAAGCACCAGCAAAGCCTCAACATATCCTTCGCGCATGCAAGAGTATCTCATTTGGTTCTTCTCGTTTATCCTTCTTCGTGGTCTTGTTGCTGAGTAGTTGATATCCCAACGAATCCAGCGGCTAGTGGCTGTTGTTCATCTGTTGTCGGTTAGACGCATCATGCATTTGATCCACTTGATTTCTGACATTTTGACGTTCATAACGCATCTCTAATGTTTGGTCATTGATATCGGTGGGAACTCCAGGTTCGCTGCTTCATGTTCATTTTGAAAAAAGATAAACGATGAAGCTCTCGGCGTTGATCAATCTCTGAGGGATGCGCCATGCATTCGAGTTCATTATGCACCGTTTGGAGATGATTGATGGCATATTTGGCCTTTACATTGACTCGCGATGGCCTACCGATGTATCGAGCCAGTGCTGCTATCCTCGCAGGCAAGGCTGGTGCCAATTTGCCACACCGGGGGTTGGAAGCCTTAGTGGGCCATGGGCACGGGGATCGATTTCACGTGTGTTGCAGGGTGCCTTCGACCAATGCGCCTTCATCTGCATGTTACAGGATATTATCAGCATAGCTGTCTTGACTGCGCGTCTAATACTGATGGAAGATTTCTATGTTAGATCAGAATTGTTGAGTCGAAAAAGTTAGCACTGGGTGTTCTTTACATTTACTATATCTTCGGTGACCTTGAAAGCTTCCCAGGCAGCTCGCTTCGTCCTTGTCAGCTCTGCGGCTACGTTCATCATACTGACTTCTTGACGCATATTGTCGTAAATGGAATAATCGGACATATTCATTCCGTTGAACGTAATTCGGAAATCGGAAAGAAATCCTTTGCTCATGGGCACATTTCCTCAAGATTCATTTGACGACCATTATCTGCGCAAACGTTTTTGAAATCAACCAACATTTGATCCATCCGTCCACGGTTCGATGTTGTACGATTTGACCAGCAAAGCGAAAATGGTGTATTTGCCGACCATCGGCTTTTACTCTCATGTTATCCCATTCCAATTTTCTCTAGGTTGATGGTAAATAACTTTGGCGAGATGGTATCGCCTTACTTAACCCATGTTTTGAAGTCTATGTTAATGCCGTTGTAGAATAGTGATATTTTATTTTTGAAACCGACCGTCATTGAACCTCTTATCAACCTCGTGTAGGCTCAACAATATAAACAAGTGATATTTTATTTATTTATATGATCTTATAAACTGATCTTCTTAAGCTGACGCGAGGTTGGTACAGGTCTTCGTTGTCGTTGTCGTTGTTTTTGATGTTGCTGGTCGATGGCTGACGTTTCGGCGTCTTCGCCTTCCTCAGAGCCGTGATGTTACGTATGGGACTTCACTCGATGTATCCGCTCGATGTATCCCACTCCACTCGAAGACCTAAACCAACCTCGCACCAGCTAAAGAAGATCAGTTTATAAGATCATATAAATAAATATATCAACTATCTACGCCGAGGTTTATAGAAAGTCAGTCTTTCGAGTTATTAAGAGATCCTCCAGCAAAATATTTTCGACTTGTAAGAGTGATATTTTAATTATTGTTGGCTGGGTTTTATTTCTATATAGCTTGCGAGGAATCTTTATGTACTGAGTAGGGACCCTCTGGATGCCTAAATCATGTTTTGTCATGAACTAAATAAAAGTTAAGACATTGAGATTGTAGATGCGGTTTGGGTAAATCATAAGAAGCTCGAGCAAAGTCTCCGACTGACACACTCAAGCTCTTTACGTACTTGATACTTGAATGACTCATCCTCACTATTTGTACGGATCCCAGCATAATCTCCATTTTTTCGGAGATTTGCTAGTTAAGCCATTGTGGTTCCCTGGAACGCCGAGGTCAGTCTGGCCAAGGTCTGCCTCAGGTCCTCACCACCGTTGGCAGTCGCAAGTCTTGTGGATTAGGGTGAGATTTGCCACCATGTGACTTTGATACCAGGACCATGGTGGGTCCTGGTATTGGTTAATTCTCAGCTAGCCTTCTTGATGGAAACGCCGGACTCAGCCTGGGAGATCTTGCCGAGTAGATGAATGCCCACGCTATACATCGTAGCCCAACACCCAGGAGCACCTCCCAGCCGCGATGAGGCGGTAAACCGTTGAGAGGCTTGAATATTATATTATATAGAATATTTACCAGAAGAACTGAACTGTTATAATACTTTGAATGCTGTATTATTTGTAAGGTAACCATATAAATAGATTTCGCATACCACATTGCCTTCGGTATGCGGGTCAAATAATTATAGCAATACAACCACAACGTTGCTGAGATATTTGCAAAACTCTCGACCGCAGGTGTCTATGGTGGGAACGAACGCTCTATTGTCCTTTCCGGAGAGTAACGCGTTCACCACCACACCATGCGGGTCCTTTGTTTCGCCTGTCTCTCAGCTATTTCTATCGGTCTTTTGCCACAACAATCACCCGTCAGCGGGATTGATCTGGGGCGCCCAAATCGGCATAGAACCCAGTTAAGCTGCGGCTGTAGTTGAAATCACAATGTTATACCTTTTCATTTTCTGCCTACTATAATTTTGCGGCAGGGTACTACAGCCGCAGCTTAACTGGGTTCTATGCCGATTTGGGCGCCCCAGATCAATCCCGCTGACGGGTGATTGCTGTGGCAAAAGACCGATAGAAATAGCTGAGAGACAGGCGAAACAAAGGACCCGCATGGTGTGGTGGTGAACGCGTTACTCCCCGGAAAGGACAATAGCGCGTTCGTTCCCACCATAGACACCTGCGGTCCAGAGTTTTGCAAATATCTCAGCAACGTTGTGGTTGTATTTCGCTTAGTACCCTGCCGCAAAATTTTAGTAGGCAGAAAATAAAAAGGTATAAAATAATAGCAATTATTCCCATTTGATAAGCAAGCAAAATAACAGGTTGAGGCTGCAACCGAACACAGCAACCAAGCGATCTCTATAGATGATAACTGCAAAGAAACAAAACCAATGGAAGAAGTGCTGGATTTTGTAACTAAGATGAGGACAGGCCATCTGGCCATCTAAATAAGCATATGTGACAGTGAATTCACAAATAAGTATGTGCTTCGAATGCTGTCGAGGGAACAGGCAACCATTTGATAGGCTTGCTTCTTTTCGAATTCCGACCCTCTGAATGTTGACACAAAATTGACTAATCATATAAAAGTGTTGAAGCTGTCATGACAACAGACTCAGCTTTTAATTATTTGAAGATGTTTTCATTCTTGCCTTGCAGGCAGTATAAAACCAAATGGAATACTCATTCGCTCGTCTCGCCTATTCTCATCTGAATATGCGATATTCGGTTTACGTTGTGTCTCTGCAGTTGAAGGGATTCTTAACTGCTCTTGGCATCTTCCGCTTCTTCTTTATCATTGGTCTTTTACCAATTGTACATACACAGATTCATATAAATCTCGATTGGTCTGATGTGAAAAAGACGCAAAAGTCAGCTTCCACTGAAGAAATTGGATCTCAGCAAGCTGAGCGGTTCTACGGTAAGCTAACGACGAAGTTCTTGCATTAAGCGACAAGTTGAATTTTGTTGTTCAACGAGCTGGATGCTGGGATTCTGAAAGTAATCAAAACCCCAAAAATGGTAGCATTGAGGCGCAACTGGAGTTGGTGGCTCTCTGTCTGGCAGCCATAGTAAGGAGATAACAGAACCCTGATGATTCCCTGATAGAACAATGCGCTCTTAATCGTGCTGGTCGAAGTGAAACTCTTTTGAGCCTAGAATTTCTTCGACACTGTTCTTTACACTTCGTCGGAATGTGCAGTTTGTAGTGTGCTGTCGAACTTTTGTAAACTTATAAGAAACGTGAGCTGTGTGATTACTACTCAGCAGTAAAAATTATCATAGCCTTTATTTATTTTTAATTTAGAAGTAAACGCCAGTCTCGTAAATGCAGATTTCATTTCAACCACAACTATTTTGTACTTTCGAGATTTTTTAAACCCTGACTGCGGTAGTATTAGAATCATGGTTAAATAAGAGAGTTTAAAGTAGTATAACGGCTCAGGTAGCGCAGTGGTGGAGATACTATTGAACGAGATGTGCACCGCCCGGTTCCATCACGCATTGGCACCACCAAGCCTCCCATACATCTGTTTTAGGTTGGTACCAGGCCCGTCTGTGACGATCTCGCTCCCATTCACAGACGCTGAGAGTTGCATGCGATGAACATGTAGCAACGCTATATCATTACTATCCCAGATTTCCAGGGAGAAATGGCCCGGGCAGTGTTCAACGATATCCACAAAGAAGACCAAATTCTCAATTGGGAACCCATCCCTAAAATCCCAAACCCTTTTTTAACAATGTATTTGAAAAAAAGTGACAATTGAAAGGACTTCTGGAGCGACATTACATGTATTGTCTGGTCATTAAAGAAATGATACTGCAGAATGGTCGAAAATTTTACGTGGTTCAATCTGTGAAAGAATTTAAAGAAAAGTAGAGAAGAAAGAAGAAAAACTACCTTTTATACCCGTAGTGTATTCTAGAGTTCGGGTGTACAAAGTTGGTAGAATTGTCGCTTTTTTGAGTAGCAAGACGGGGTAAGCGAATTGCACATGACCCGTTGCACACATATGGAAAACCTCTTCCATTTTTTAATTCGCTAGCATTCGTTGTTTAAAATCATTTTTCTACACTTGTATTAAATAGAGATATGCTTTAGCTTTAGTAAAATGATGATGTGTGATGTAGCTTCAATGAGCATTATGAGAAAATCAAAAACAATGGCGCGTGTGGAGCAGCCGTCGTAGACACTTTGAGACATACACGTGGGATCAATCCCCGCGCCTGTGGCTCGCCAAACCTTCCATCCCTCCAGGGTCGGCTATTTGGTACCAGACTTGTCTGGGAAGATAGCAGCACTGGCTTGGTAGTTCACCGCGAGTCATTGTAAAGGCCATATATGCATTCAATCACCTCCAGCAATACTTAATGAATTCGAATGCATGGCGCACTTCTCAGGGATTGATCAACGCTGGGATTTTCATCCTTTATTCTTTATAATGAGAAAATAGTGACAGCTTTTGACTTCAAATAGTCACATCTTAGGTTATACTGGAGTTTACTAATTCAGATCAAAACCATTAGAGTTCACAGATTTTTTTTTCCTAAGAAAAGATACCAGTTGTCTTTCTCTATAACGATTTTTCTGATTCTCATGAAAGATATTCTGTTCAAAAAGTCAGTCTTTTCTCGTGCAACAGAAAGTTGTTACAATTACAATCTTAACCCTTTTATCTACTTCTTACTGTTTTTGATGGCAGGGTATATTGCGAAATATGACTTTAATGATGCTGAGATATCTGCAAAACCCCGGACCGCAGGTGTCTGCGCTGGGAAACGAACGCGCTATTGTCCTTTCCAGGGAGTAACGCGTCCACCACCACACCATGCGGGACCTTCGTTTCGCCTTTCTCTTTGTTATTTACAAGTTCATTTCAACACTGGCTGATATTTCGGCAGCTTCTCTTTCTCGATGGCTAGGAAAGATGAAATTGAGAAGCATTCTGCTCAGTCAAGAGCTTTCATAACCCAATCAGGAAGAACTGCGCAACTTACATTCGCACATAGATGCACTAGCCACTATCCTACAGCCGACAAATAACAAACAGATTGGGTGAAAGCTACCGATGTTGGAAAGTTCTTTCCCTTTTCTTTTCAAGCTGCCGAAAGCTCTTGTTGGATTTGTAATTGTTGAAAACCTTGTATTTTGATAGGTTCATGCAAAAGTGCAAAATGTTTTGTCATCTGCTGGTGGGCAAATGTTTTGAATTGCAGGGCCAAAAGCAAGAGAACATAAATTTCACCTCAGAGATGCCATGAAAGGCCGGCATCCGTCCATGAAAGTTTACATTAAACTGTGCAAAAACGGCTACATTACCGAATGCTACAAAATTTTAGTAAATAAAAAGTTAAAATTGTATCGATTAGGACAATTGGACTACAGCCTCAGCCTAACTGTGTTCGTTACCGATTTGGGCTCCCCATATCAATCCCGTTGGCGGGTGATTGCTGATGTCCTAATCGATAGACCTACATGAGAAACAGGCGAAACGAAAGACCCACATGGTGTGGTGGTCAACGCGTTACTTCCCGGAAAGGGTTATAGCGCGTTCGTTCCTCACCGTAGACACCTGCGGTCCGGAGTTTTAAAAATTCCTCAGAGTCATTGTAGTTGATTAAACATTCATTAAAGCGCGCATATGATGAAAAGGTTCTGCAGTCGAAGTTACCAACCAAGGCACAGAAATTGAAAGCTTCAGTTCAAAAGACTTTAAGCGTTTCAAATAAACTCCAAAAATCCAAAAATGAACTGCAAGGAGGACAGCCTTGTGGTCAAGCATGGAGGACACTTTGCGACAGATGTTCAACAAAAACTGGAAGATGTGCTAAGAAAAAACAGCGCCTGTTTAAAAGAAGCTATTTACTATGAGAATGGAATTTTTGCACTTAGTTTTCTTCTGCACGGAAGTGTTTGGCGGAGTTAGCTTGCGCATTAATCTGACCTTTCCAGATTCTTAGGAAGTCGAAAGAGCCGAAACGGTATCCAGCATTGAATAAACGTTGTAATTGACAACTTTGTGCCTACTCAAGAGTAGAACACTGACTTACTGAAGAACGCCAAGATTAATGGAAAGTCGATCTAGGGAATCCGTCGTTGATTTTTGCGGCTGTAACGATTGCATTCAAATTTTTTAAAAATATTTAAGTCTGTTTAGTCTTACTTCGAAACCGACTTTCCTTGAACCACGGTATTAGTAATCAATGTGTATTTCTGTCAATATCTGTTTAGTCTTTCGAGAAGCTTATTTTCGCAGATAGTTAAAGTTAAATTATCTTATAAAACCACAATGATTCTGAGATATTTGCAAAACTCCGGACTGCAGGACACTGCAGTGGGGAACGAACGCGTTATTACCCTTTCCGGAGGCTTACTTATGTACTACCACACCATGTGGGTCCTTCGATCCACCTCTCTCTTAGCTAGTTTTCTATCGACCAGTGCCATCAGCAAATCACCGGTCAGCGGATTGATCTAGGCTTGTTTTCTGTCGATCACTGCTATCTCAACTAGTTTTCTATCGATCAGTGCCATTCGGTTTTGTTAATAACTCAGAATTGTTGTGGTTGTATCAGGCATACGACCCTGCCGTGAAAAATTGTAATAAGCAGTAAATGAAAGATTAATATCTTATAAAAGTTATCACACAGTTAAAATCGAATTGTCTTTTTAAAGTTGTTATACCATTAAAGTGATACAGTAAAGTTTCTTCTATAAGTGTTTGAACTTCGCAAGTCCTCCAGTTCTTTATTATTGGATAAATTCTCTTGTGTAAACCAGCTTCGCTGCCAATATGATAACGTATTAAATTGATAAGCTAGTTGTATTACGTAGTTCATAACTATTCTTTACCTATCTGCCAAACTTAATCCTAGCGATATGAGGCTTAAGAAATGTGATACTACTGAAGCACTTGTGTACTTGTAGATATTACACCTCGTTTACGAGCCGAAGGACTGTGGTCGCTGTGCCGTCGTGGACAGTCATATGTTCAGTTAGGAACGTGCTCCAGTCATTTCATCGAATGTGCTCGTCATGGTAGTGGCTTCGCCGTCAGAAGTTGTCCGTTTAGATCATATGTAAGAATATTACGCTCACAATTCATTAGATTTTGCAGCATCGAAATAATGAGCAATTTAAGAATATATCAGGTATTTTGTTTGGGAACTGTGAAATACATACTGCAAAAATGATTTTGTATAACATGATCTCGTGGCTATGTATGATTTGGGATGCGTGTGGCGCAGTGGTCGGAGAGGTTCTGCAATACACGCGGAATCGATCTACGCGCCTATGGCCTACCAGACCTTCCATCCCTCCGGGGTCGGCAAATTGGTACTGTACTTGTCTGGGAAGATAGCAGCACTGACTCGATACATCGCCAGGCCACCGCGTCATTGTAAAGACCAGACATGCATTCAATCACCTCCAAACGGTGCTGAATGAAGTCGAATGCATGACGCATCCCTCAGGGATTAATCAACGCAGAGAGCTTTATTCTTTTTTTATCAGGTATTTTATCCACAACATGCGCATCCTTTAGTGTGTGCCAACTACTGTGTGCATCTACAATGTTCAGTGTCTTTACTTTTATTTACTTCTTATTTATGGCAAATTGTGATGTGAAATGCAATCGCAAGAATGCTGAGATTTGAAGAAGACCCGGAACTCAAGCTGGGCTTCGAATTAGCGACTGCGCCAATTGTACTCATGTAGTCCCAGGTTCGGAGCTCAGCTGAAGCTTCTAGGTTTGCTCATGTTTCATCATCGTTGTGGCTACAACATACATATTGGACAACTTTATGAAGTTGTTCATTAAGTTTTAGGTGTTCATGAGAGGAAAATGTTTGCCGGCGCAAAAATTCCCACTATGTCGAGAGTACTCTTCAAACACACTTAACGAAGAGACACAGGACTTGATTAAAGTGAGTTTGTTGGAAAACGCATGCGATTTTCGCATAACGCGTACATGGACAAATAGTATAATGATATGCGAACTAATATTGCATTTAGGGTAGCGGATAGTGGTAGTGATGCCGATCATCATGAGCATGGTGCTAGCTTGTCCCCTCCCGGTTTAGCTAAGACTATCATATATCGGGATCAGGAAGCTGGTAAGAGACCTGTCTGGCAAAAATCACCCTCTGCAATCCAACTGAGAACGCTATAGCCCGGTTATCTCAAGACTGCAGGAGAATCGACTCCACCTCGACGATATTCATGACGTGAGGAAAAATCCTCGAGCGGCAACCGAACCCACACTCTAAAAGTTGGAAGATCTTCGTGGATGATGGAATTGATGTGAGAAACCGAACCGAAAGCGGGAAGTGATAGGACCGCAGAGTAGATTTGAAGAGAGTCGTGTAAGAAGAATACGGTATTTCTGCACACAGTCAGCACTGTCTACTCGTCCTACACATTTTCCTTATTCAAGGGTTATATGAGTGCTAAATTTGCTACACCATATTTTGTAGACGGAGTCTTTCTGCGCCAATGGCGCTGGAATCTATCGAGGAGACAACGGTCAACAGGACGATGCCTGTTCTCGACAAGCTTTCATTTGCCATCCTAACGGAAGAGATGTGATTTCTATATCATGCGCTGTCGGTAAGTGGTTTAAGTTCTAAGGGAGTATTCCGATGATGGTCAATGGAATGAAGGAGATATTACGACGCTAACAGTTTCCCTTGGTATATATTGATTTCGGTGTTACATGTCTAGAAATATATGCATTTCTGAATTTTAAAATTTGAGTTTATCACAGTGATGCTGAGATATTTGCAATAATCCGGACCGTAGGTGTCTACGGTGGCAAAAGATCGCGCAATTACCCTTTCCGGAGAGTAACGCGTTCGCCACTACACCGTGCGGGTCCGTCCGTTTGACCTGTGTCTCAGCTATTGCTATCAATCGGTGCCATCTTGAGTCTATTGTTCCTTAATTATAAAATGCAAAATGTTTTCATTTGGCCGGAATGAAGTGCTGATTTTCTGGAATTTAAGCAAAGCCTATTCCTTCTTTACGTTGTTTTGAACAATAAAGTGATAGCACATATGGGGTTTCTTACAGAAGGATGTGGTGCTGTTCCTAGGCGCTGCCCCACCTCGTTGAAAATTTGAGGGAAAAACCAATTTCAATTAAGCCCTTTTGAAGAGTTGATTTTCAATTATTTAAAATCAGACTAACATTTAAGAAGAAGTACTTCTACACTTGGATCAATACAGGTCAAATCCTCTTGTGCGAACCTCTCAATCTCTGGATTTCCAAGTACTCTAGTTTTTGAAAACTATCGTTATGGGATGAAAGGGCGCGTGTGGCGCAGTGGTCGGAGACGCTTTCGAACACACACATAGGGTCGATCTCTCGTCCATGGCCCACCAAGCCTTCCATCACTTCTGCTTCGGTAAATTGGTACGAGACTTGTCTGGGAGGATAGCAGCACTGGCTCTATAGATCGGTAGGCCACTGCGACTCATTGTATAGGGCAGATATTCAGTCATTTCCAAACGTTGCTTAATGAAGTCGAATCCGCTGCTCATCCCTCAGGGATTGGTCAACGCCGAGGACTTTTTTTAGTGCTGTAGATTAATGAATGACCGATTAAGGAAAACATTAGATTGTGAACCGTAGTGACTCGGTATTTATCGTGTAAAAATTACTTAGCACTTGTGAAAGTACCATCGCACAAAAACAAAGGAACAATCAATCTTTCACAAAAACCATCTTCATATAACATTTTTGTATGATCCGACATGATTTGTGGTACGGAGCTTTATCCTTTTATAAGCTAAGGTGAAAGCAAGAGTCATCAACTGGTTAAAAGAACATTCAAGGAATATCCTCACATTGGCTAACGAGCATATAAGTAGGGAAGGCTACTAGTGATTTTTAATTCGATTCTTTCTCATTGTTTCTATGCAGAAAAATCTACAATTTTTGGACAGTCTTTCATTAAACTGCGAGTCTCCAAGATCTAAGCGATTACACAGCCTCAGACTCTGTGGCATGGCTTTTTAATGACGCGCGGACAAAATAATAAAAGGATAAAGCTCTCGGCGTTGATCAACCCCTTAGGGATGCGCCAAGCATTCTTCTTCACTAAGCATCGTTTGGAGATAATTGAATGCATATCTGGCCTTCACAATGACTCGTGGTGGCACACCGACGTATCGATCCAGTGCTGTTAACCTCCCAGACAAGTCTGGTACCAATTTGCCAACCCCCAGAGGCTTGGTGGGCCATGGGCGTGGGGATCGATTTCACGTGTGTTGCAGGGCGCCTCCAACCACTGCGCCACACGCGCTCGTGAATCGCACGTACTACTATATAAATCGTATATCGCTTTCCAATAGTAGAACCGCAGTAAAAGATTGGTGGTGATATCATGCTATCTTGGTTGTAATCCTCCATCTTTTCGTTATTTCAGGGCAGTCAGTAACAGACAACCTTGAATGTGTCCCTGCTCCTAAGTGGTGTCCATCGGAATTGCATATAACGGCACCAATTCGCCAGTTCTTCCTGCAAAGGACTTGTCATGCCAGTTTAAGACGCAGATTTCCCAAAATCAAGAGTGAACGTGAGCACAAGAGAGCTCAGTATCAACCAGAGACGCCGTGCAAAACCTGGTAAAATAGATGAAATCCTGCAAGAATTCTGGAAGATGTTCATTGCTGAATTGTTTAGGTATGTGGTGTGCAGTCATCGACCGTTTATTGTTCGATGTGGACTTCATGAAATTTACGACCAGCGCTTGGAGAAATGTCGACCGTGGCGATATGGGGACGTCTGTGCTATGTCTGGAGTGTGCAAGTGATTGACAATACTATACATAATGATGCTGAAATATTTGCAAGGCTCCGAACTGCTGGTATGTGCGGTGGGGACCGAACACGCTATCACCTTTCCGGGGCTAACGCGTTCATCGCCGCAGCATGCGAGTCCTTTGCTTCGCCTTTGTCTTAACAGTGTTATTGACCTATAGGTGCTATCAGCAGTCACCCGCCAACGCGATTGATCTGGGACGCACAAATCGGCGGTGAACCCTGTTAGAGATGTTACAAGTTTAACCATCTTTCAAATTTTTAAAAATGTTTTATACAGTTTTTCTATTAATTTCGAATATTTCTCATAACTTTTATTATTCCAAAGACAATTTGCCAAATTGCTCAAGTGCACAGCGTTCGGATATCAATCGGGACCAATTTCAGCGGGCATGAGTGGGAATCGGTGTCACTAGAGAAGTGTGGACGACAGTTTATCTACTGTGAAGGCTCTGTTGCTACGCTTTATACATGTGAAGAAGGAATGGTCTTCAACGGCGATTGCACTCGTAGAGAAGAAGTCGATGGTTGCGGAGTGTGTGAAAAAGGACAACGACGACGGGCAAATTCTTGTCATGAGGTAACTGCGATTGCCGAATATATTTTCGCCAATTGAAAATGCTAGGTGGCCAGTTTTAAAATAGGATCGAAATGCTTTTCATGTCGTACTGCACTGTATGAATAGCACACTGGTTAAAGGTGCACAGCCATGCACATGGTTGTTGTTTCGAATGCTCCGCCTGGCTTACTTAAGTTCCCATCATTCCGGAGTTGGCAAATCGGTACCAGACTTGTCTGATAGGATAGAACCCTGAGTTAGGGCACTACAAGTTGTTATATGGGCTAAGTATGCATTTAATTGTCTTCATGTATTAAATGTTCAAAAGTACAACGGACATTGAAAACAAACGCTTCATTCCTTCCGTTCTATTCTTCATTGAACCAGTTTAAAGAGTAATAAAAGAACTCTCGGCGTTGATCAATCCCTGAGGGTGCGCCATGCATTCGACTTCACTAAGCATCGTTTGGAGGTGATTGAATGCATATCTGGCCTTTAAAATAACTCACGGTGGCCTACCGATGTATTGAGCCAGTGCTGTTATCCTCCAGACAAGTCTGGTACTAATTTGCCAACTCCAGAGGGATGGAAGGCTTGGCGAGCCATGGACCCAGGGATCGATTCCACGTGTGTTGTAGGGGACCTCCCACCAGTGCTCCACACGCGCCCTTACTTTAAAGAGAAGACATTAAAATGTAGCATTTAAATCATCCGCAGTGATAAGTGTGAGAGTAGTGAAAAAATTGTTTTGCGGTTAATATGATTTCTATTAACATAATACTTTTGTAATAATTTGAGTTGTATTGGATAGGACGTGAGTGATTTACGGGTAGACATTGGCTTTTCAAGCTTATCTATGTCGAAACCTTCACTTTTGCTACCTTCCATCCATCGAACTTTTCTGTCAGCTTGCACTCATATTTTGATATCTTACCTAGTGTAATATGCTCAGTACACCCATTTCTGTTCCTTTTGTTATACTGCGTCCAATAATTCGCGAATTAATCTTGAGATTTATTGTCATCTTAGAAGAATCCTGGTTTAAAGGCAAGAAACCTTTCTCCTGTTCAAAAACGCAGGCAGCTGACTGACTGCCTGTAGTGGTGACTTCCAAACACCCTTGTGTCCCTTAGTTCCAAGGAAAGCTACACATGGCCAGTATTCGACATATCGAAGAGAAGAGAAGCAACATCTGTTCCAATTGAAGGAGAACAAATATACGTGGCTGATCTCCTCTATAAATGGCATTTGCCCGTCCGCGAATCGGATAGGAGTGTTGAAAGCTGCACTAGGTATGATATCTCCTCATCCAAGCTCAAAAAGCCTCTCATCTCTTCAGGTTCAGAAAATTAGTGGCAGACTTGTCTGGGAACAGCTCCTACCCTTTCCCCTTCTTGTAGTCCAAAAGCAGCAGTCACACACGAAAAAATCGCGAAGACTTCAGCGGAACGATGGATGCGAGGAAATAAATCAAATCCAAAAAATGCTTCTATCCGCACAGTACATGTGAAGACGGGTTCTTTAGGGTAAAAAAATTGGTCAATCTAAGCACTCGTGAACATTTTTATGCAAAGGGGGCAACAAGCCGTTCATCTCTCCAGGCAGATTGGTACCAGGCTTGCTTGGAAGGATAGCAGCACTAATTTGATATGTCGGTAGACCACCGCGTGTTATTATATGGGTTAGATATGCATTCAATCACCTTCAACGATGCTTAATGAAGTGAAATGTATGGCGTATCCCTCAGAGATTGATCGCCGCCGGACGCTTTATCATGTACCTTTTATAGGTGCCGAGGTACAGATCTCGGCTGAAAATGACACCAAAAACGAAGTGTAAAAATTTTATCCAAAAGGAAAAGCAAAGAACTCGAAATTTGTGATATGTCGGACTTCTAACCTAACTTACTCAAACAGTTAGATATTAGCTCTGACTTTTTTATCGGTTATTTTGTAGTACTACGAGTGTGATCATTCAACAAAATCCGGTCTAATGTGGCAGCTAAGGAAATGCCCGGACGGTGAAGCGCTAAACTATGCCATAAACATCTGCCAGAAGAACTACACCTGTGCGAAGAGGACCACAGTGAGCTAATGTGTTTAGGTTTAATGCTGGAAGTGATCTGTGAATACCATCAATTTAGTGTATCCATGGATCATCGTTTTCTATCAACTGCAACTCCTATATGTACTGCACCGGGGAACACTACGAGGTAGACGTACAGGTCATATTAATTTTAATAATAGACAAAATCTTTTACGAGCCGATTGCTGATTTTTGAGGTCTTTGGGTTATCAAATATTCCTTATAAATAATCGTGTGTTTACCTTCTAATAGGGCGCGCGTGGCGCAGTGGTCGGAGGCGCTCTGCAACTCACACGTACAATCGATCTTCGCGCCCATGGCCCACCAAGCCTCTGGGGGTTGGCAAATTGGTACCAGACTTGTCTGGGAGGATAACAGCACTGGGTCGATACATCGGTGTGCCACCACGAGTCATTGTAAAGGCCAGATATGCATTCAATCACCTCCAAACGATGCTTAGTGAAGTCGAATGCATGGCGCATCCCTAAGGGATTGATCAACGCCGGAAGCTTTTGAGCTTCTTACCTTCCTATGAGCTTGCCTGAAGAGCCGTATTATGTGGATGCCTTACATTCGTTATAGTTATTTGCCTTTTTGGCCAACATTCCGATGGACTCTTCATTACATTTTACTGCTTACCACAACGTACAACTAAATTAATTTGTTTTTAAAACACATGCGAAATTGAGATCAAATTCGGTGGTACATAAACATGACTGCAGAAAGTCTTCTAATGCTGTTCGCGTGCTGATCGCAATGATGTTGCAGATGCTTTCATGTCCACCAAACACCAGCTGGGATCCCTATAGGAAGTTCTGTGTGTTGGACCCGAGCTGCGGGATGTCTTCGCATCAAAAACTTGTAAGCCTTCAAATTAATTTTTTCTGCAGTAAAAAATAAACGGTGTGAAAGTGCACTATAACTAAACAGACTAGAAGAAAAACGATTTTTCCATTCGGAAATCGCAGTGAGTTTGAAGAACGCCGTGAATCGAAGGATTGTGTGCCAGGTTCGCTGTTTTGAACTTGTTCTTCCTATTAATCTACATTCTTTGATGTAGTAGGTTACAACGAGGATTGGAAGCTCGGGGATTGTGATAGTGCTTATTGAGTACGCTGTTTGGCCGAACCCACCTCGAGCTCACTAAGTCTTCCGTCGCTCTGCAGTCAGAAAGTGAGTACCAAACTTACCCCAGACCAGCTTACTCCCTCCATTCCTCATGGAGATACTGTAGTGCGGACAACCCATAACTCCAGGAAAAGTGGGATTCGCACAGTAAATGTGAAGTTGGGTGCATCCCTCAGGGTTTGATCAACGCCGAAAGCTTTGTCCTCTTATCCTTTACCAAATTCTTCCATGGTTTACCGTTGCACCGAGGAAAATGGGTTTTATTGCTTATCAACAGCGCTATGCAGCTAAAGATCTCTCGTTGGAGTAACCGTGAAGTTCGACATTTCCAGCTTGAAACTCAGGTAAAGTAAGGTTGGGAGCCATTGTCATTACAACTGGGGCGGCAAATCTCCCGATCCATAGATGTTTGCAGATAACTGCAACGATGATTTCAACTATTCTTTTAATAGCTATTTTGTCACACTAACACTCTAAACTAACCCATTTCGCTCTAATATGAGTCTAACTAAGCCTACAACGACGGCTAACGTACTTTTTGTCGTTGTTTCATCACGACGGTGTTGAGTGTAGATGTTCAGGATCCTGACAATGGACATTTTATTTTCTTCCGATTTTACGTTTACAATTTATTTCCTGCGTTTATTTCTGCTGTGTTTGACTTAGAATCACTCAGATTTGCTGCTACTAATTGTTTTCTTTAGAACCAGTGCTTACCTGGTGACACCATTCCATCCTCTGATTGCAAAACCTACAACATATGCATGAATGGAATGTACTTCTCAGCGGAGTGCAAAGATAATTTTGGATTCCACGCTAGTATGTCTATTTGTTCATTTATGTTTGCATTTGAACAGCGCAGTTGAAGACAATTTGGCAAAAGTGAAGTGGGAGGTACTGAGGAGCAACCACTTATGTTCTGTGGTTGCCACCTATCGAAATCCGCTTTAAAACAAGCGCATCTGAGCGTTTATGAAAACGCTACTATTTATATAGAATTTATCTATTTATTTAAAAATGAGCTTCAAATATATGCATTAGATCATTCCGGATGTTTTCCTATAAGAAGCTGATTTATGTGAGATATTCATAGTTCCGTGTTCGCACTGCTTTTCGTCGTCTAAAAGCTATTTGGATGATCGGTTAACTTATCCCGGACGGTGTATGAGACATAGCCGATTTGCCCATCCTCACGACTGTGCGGCTTACTACGAGTGTGAAGGAGAGCGATGGAGTTATAAAAGGCCTGTTCTATGTTTTGATCCATTTCTCGCATGATGTTTGGTTCCCACCAAATTATTTTTTACTACCTTCTTAGAAAATTAGAACTAACCTTAGAAATGATGTAACTTATCACTTCGGTTCGAAGGAAAAGCTGTGACGTCCTAACTAATATCACACAGATGTGAGAAGCCGCATGAGATTTATGACGCCTTGACAAGAAACTGCCGTCGTGGAAGTGCATGGCAGTGCTCGTCATCCACCCAAGTGCAGTGTCGACACGGAGAGGTAAGTTGGATAGTTGGTAAACTCGGACTTCTGTAAATGTGATGGTGTTTCTTTAGAGAATCGTCCATCAATATCCGTCAACATGTGACCGATTTACCGAATGTCTTCATGGAAAGTGGGTCGATCTCAAATGTCCTGCTGGATACATCTATGGTTAGGCTTGCTCTTTCTCAATGAGATTAAACCAGTGCTTTGCCTTCGCCCTTCGTTACCCTCAATTCTCCATAGACATGCTACTAATGGTTGGTCGCTTCTAATATAAGGCTTGAAAAATATTAGGCAATTCTTTTGAGAACATTCTAAGAAGTTAGCAAAAAAATGTTTTACATACAGATGTGAAGACGATGAGCTGTTCACCCGGTGGATGTCGTGAACGGCGAGAATTTACTCAAGTACTTTCTCCTCCTACGGCGCTCGAAGAGCCATTTTCTACAGCTCAACGTCAGCAGCATTTCCAGGCGCTACCAGCGTTTTTTCCAGTTCCACCTCAAGACGATTTTGAGAATGAGCCAGCACCTCCTCCAGTTCCACCTCGGCGGCATTTCCAGGTGGTGCCAGCGAATGTTCCAGCTCAACCTCAAGATGATTTCGACAGTGAGCCAGCACCTCCTCCAGCTACACCTCGACGGCATTACCAGACGGTACCGGCGTATCCTACAGCTCCACCTCAAGACGATTTTGAGAATGAGCCAGCACCTCCTCCAGCTACACCTCGACGGCATTACCAGACGGTACCGGCGTATCCTACAGCTCCACCTCAAGACGATTTTGAGAATGAGCCAGCACCTCCTCCAGCTACACCTCGACGGCATTACCAGACGGTACTGGCGTATCCTACAGCTCCACCTCAAGACGATTTTGAGAATGAGCCAGCACCTCCTCCAGTTCCACCTCGGCGGCATTTCCAGGTGGTGCCAGCGTATCTTCCAGCTCAACCTCAAGATGATTTCGACAGTGAGCCAGCACCTCCTCCAGCTACACCTCGACGGCATTACCAGACGGTACCGGCGTATCCTACAGCTCCACCTCAAGACGATTTTGAGAATGAGCCAGCACCTCCTCCAGTTCCACCTCGGCGGCATTTCCAGGTGGTGCCAGCGTATCTTCCAGCTCAACCTCAAGATGATTTCGACAGTGAGCCAGCACTTCCACCAGCTCCTCCTCGGCGGCATTTCCGGATGGTGCCAGCGTCTCCTCCAGCTCCACCTCAAGACGACTTCGACAATGAGCCAACACTTCCTCCAGCCCCACCTCTGCGACATCTGCAGACGGTGCCAGCCTCTCCTCCATCTCCACACCAAGATCATTTTGAGACTCTGTCAGCACTTCCTCCTGCTCCACCTCCACTCGACGGTGTACCAGTGAGTTTCATTTAACACTACCACTACTACCAGTTACTTTAAGCTTTGTATGTGATTTTTTGTGAGCAGTGACGTTTTGAAACACTTGATGAATCTTATCGTTTCTTTTTTTTTTCAAAATTTACGGAACCATAAGCGTGCACAATTCCATCATCGACTTTCTATTAACTCGGCCATTCTCCAATCGTTCGCTGTTTTTTTCATTGGCATAAATGAGGTTGTTACAACACTATTTATTCGCAATGGCTGATTTATCGACAATTTTATGTTTTTCGGGGCCCAGAAAGGTTAAGTTGATACGCAATTTATTCAGCTAAACACTTTCGTAACGTCAGCAGATGAAACTAGTGCGTAAATTTTTACTCCCTTAGCAAACTGCTTTTTTTAAACACTCACTCTTTTCGCAGTGTTTCATCTTTTATTTACTGCCTGTTCTTTTTCATGACAAGGTATTACCTGAAGCACAACGATAAGGACGCTGAGGTGTGGGCAATACTCAGAACCTCAGTCAGGTTTCTGATCCGTGACAACCTTTTCTGGGTGCTCACGTGTTGCTCATTGCACCACCCAAGTCTTTGCGTTGAGTTTCTCTTAACCACTTTCCTATCGGTGCCGTCAGCGATCATCCGTAAACGGAAATAATCTAGAGAGGTAAAATTGGACTGAACCCAGTTACCCCGAAGCTACAGTCGAAATCACAGTTTTGTTTTTTGCAGGTTTTCCATTTCTTTGGCACAGACCAGCCATACTAAATGTTGCATGGGTAAGGAATGTGCTTCGCTGAGGTTGAACAATCGCCGTGAGGTCTGGGCGAGGTCATGAGTAATATTGCAAGGCACTCCTCGCTACAGTTCATTTTTGGATTTTTGTGACTTATCTAAAATGCTGCAAGAGTTTTATGCGCGAATAGCTTGAATTCCTCTGCGTGGTTAGCGACATTTACTTCAGATCCTTCGTTATATTTCCGTGTCCGATGGTTTCCTAGTGGAATAAACTGTTTGGCCTTAAGTTTCTCAACTAGGTGCTCTTTTATACGTACTAAGAGTAACCTGTTTCGCCAAAGTATTAATCTGTCAGTGCTTTACAAGAAATCAGTTTCACGCTGGCTTAACTCATGTAGTGCAAACGGTCGAACTAGCTGCGGTGTTAGTGCGCTCGGTGGTACTTTAATCACTGCCGTTGATTTCTCTGAACAAACCCTTTTTAAGCAGCACTTCAAAGCTCTGCTTATTTTGTGGGAGTAAAAACGAATTAAATCTGACCTCATTTTTGTTAGGCTTGTCGTTTGGGTGTTTCGTTTTTTCTCTAAACCTTTCCCGAGGCGCAACCGTTTCACAGCCATCGGAAACGGACATTTGCCGCCCCAATTTCTGTGATTCTTCCTTGTGTTCTTTCTCTGTGCACACACTCGTGGCTGATCGAAACATGTTTCATAAAAACGACCTTTTTGTGTGTGACGTATGAAAGGAGAGGTAATGAGCCATTATGCTTTTACTACTTGGCTTTCGATAGTACTTCGTAATGTAGCCGGTTTCAGCCAGGGTAATTTGAACCTTCAGAAATGCTAGCCAGTTTTCTTTCGGTTTCTCTGGGTTAAACTTAATATACTCTGACTGTTCGTTCAATAATATCCATTTTCTTTTCTGTTGAGCAAATGATAAAGCAATAATTTATCCGTCTACTGTAAAGTAATGGCCGGAGATTGGTTACGCGCTACTGGCGCTTCCACCTTAGACGTCAATGCAATGGCAAAGGTTGGTGCCAGTCGCTGTCCTATTGCCCAGTCCTCCCATTTGTGCTTAATATTTATCGAAGGATCTGAAGATTGAGCAGTTTAGGACTTCTTTAAGAGTGCTATCAACTGCTAAATCGAAAAGTCACACATGTTTATTGCTCCATCTTGTTGCATAAGTGGCTCGCGGATGACCTACATTATGGAGTCATTGGAAACGTTAGTAAAGAATGGGAACCTCGAAGGTCTCTGTCACGCACGCGTTGTTAGGAAGCGCGTAACATAAAGGATCCACGAATATCTGGGTGTTTGCGAGGTGGGCTGGTTTGTGCTTGGAACTGGGAACATTAAAGGTTCAGCACACGCAAGTTCATCAGTGGATAGTAAGTGATAAGTTTTGGTAACTAGTAGCTAAAAAGAGTCATACTGCTAACTCAATTTCTAGCTGTGAAAAAACTGATGCTTTTAAACCTGTAACGCTTGCGAAATCAACCTGATTTTTGAGCCCCTTTTCAGATGGTAGGCGATAAAGGGAAATGTCATAAGGATATTTCTCCGCTATTCCAGCATCTAACTTTGGAATTATTGCAAACTTCCTACTCTTTTTATTAACTGATATCCTCATATAACTATTATAATGCTGAGATATTTGCAAAACTCAGGACCTCAGGCGTATGCGGTGGGAGACGAAAACGCGCTGTTGTCCTTACCGGGGAGCAGCGCACTTCACCACCACACCATCCAGTTCCTTCGTTTTGCCTGTCTCTCAGCTAGTTGATAGAACTATTCGATAGAACTAGCTGAGAGACAGGCAAACGAAAGACCCGGATGGTGTGGTGGTGAAGTGCGCTGCTCCCCGGT